GTTGGACTTGATTTATCTGTTGCCTTCGACTATATTAGTCACTCAATCCTCTTTGACCGTCTCTGGCAGGAATTTTGTGTGGATGGTTTTGCGCCATCAATGTTAAAATTTTACCTGGATGGTAGACAGCAATTTGTAAAGTTTTGGAATCAAACATCTTCTGCTTGCTTCCTCGACGCCGGTATTCCTCTATACTCCGTTCTCGTCTTGTTTTTTTCACTACCAATGTCTCTCCGATTAATGACATTTTCAGTAAAAACGTAATATAATCCCGTAACCATGCATTTGCACATACTGCCACTTTAGATGATCTCGAAGACGGACTATGTGTATTGCGAAATTACACAGGTTAGGTTCGTTGGTAGGATTTGAATAACTATCTTCATCTTAACCCTAACCTCATAAATTATTATTCGTTTCGAAGTATAAATATGTCTGATGCCGCTGCTCCATATATACATGGATTAAAACTGTCATAAAAGCAATTATTGTTGAAAATGACAGCATGCTCGGCGTTAGTTAACTTCTAATATAACTTTTCGATTTTCTAACGGTTGATTGTAAATCATTTTCAAGTTTCTTGAGTTCAAAACGAAAATTTTTGTTTATTCCATGCATGATAGAACAAAAAAGCTTTTTTCGGTATTTCTATACCATCTTCGGTGTTCAAATTAATATATTGTGTGTGTGCCCAGATGCCCAAATATATATATATATATATATATATATATATATATATATATATATATATATACTGTGCCAAAACTCTACTTTGTTGATTTTTCGTTTGTTTAGAGTGAATACTTAACGCTCATTTAATTAGTTTTACATTCTTCAAGTTTGTTAAATATAAGACTTTTACGTGTTTTCGGAAGAATTGATACAATACTCTATAAAATATGGTCTCCTTCCATCCATCCAAAACTCACACACACACACACACACACACCACACACACACACACACACACACACACACAACACACACACACACACACATACATACATACACACATACATATATATATGTCTTTTGGTGAACGTTTAGTTTATTAAAATTCAAAATACACTTATTAAATAAGTTTATTTATAGTGAGAAAAATCGAAAAAACGAACTACAAACATATTAACGCCAAACATTCGGTAGAATTTACAGAATATTGTAAAAATTATGGTCTATTATCAACATATATTCATATGTATGTATATATATATTTATATTATTGTGCAAATTTATATATTTAAATATATTATATATATAGCAATATATAAGAAGCAAAAGGCTTCATTCTATATATGTGATTGTGATTCGAAGAATTAGTTGTTTAGATTATTTTTTTTCTAAAATTAATATTGAAATGACAGATTGAAAGCATTTGAAATAGTGTTACCGAAATTTGTTGGAAATCAGTTGAAGGCAGAAAGTAAAGAACGAAACCATCAGAAATCAACTTGGAAGACAAAAAAGTGTATAAGGTCTATGACAAAGTCAGAGAAAGAAAATTGGGTTTTTTGGACACATTTGTAGAATGAAAGAAGACTGATTGAATAAGATGGTACTAATGAGGAAAAGAGATTGGAAGAAAAAAGTTGGTAGACCTGCTAAAAATGGATAGATGACATTACTGAATGGACTGGTGTTGGTATTCTGAATTCAATTAAACTGGCCAAAGATAGAAAAGGTTTTTGGAAAAAAAGGGAAAAAATAAATATAAAAAGCATGCTTAGATGTACACCATCGGCCTCGAGGATCATTGATTGATTGATTGAAAATGATTTTAGTTTTCTACATTATTGTATTATTTTTGTAACTGTTTATAATTTCTCTTACGTTTAGATTTGCTATTTATTTTGTTCAGTGGAAGATGAACTCGGTTTATTGATTATTCGTATTCGTAGATGATATATAAATTAAGTTTCAAATTTATAAGTTTAATTTATTGTTTCATATCATAATTTGTAATTAACGCTTGTTGTCGCTAATTGCAACTCAACAGTTATGCTACTGAAATATCTGGAAAGAAGCACCTGCACTATTCTTTGGCCACTTGCACTTGGCCAGAAAATCTCTTTGAAGCATTTGAGCAGGCTGTTTGAAACAAGGAGGTTGATGTCATCGTACATGCCTTCACATACAACAGACACAAGGTTCAACAATTACAGCGAAATTGAACTGTTTAATCAGAAGTATCCCATTGACAGTTGCACCAACATAACTCCAAGAATCACCAGCAAATTAAACAAACAACTCCACAATAAAAGAGGCCATCCATTATTTCTAACGAGACAACGCATACAAAATTATTTTTATAACAATTTTATAAAATCATCTGGGAATCCATTGTTTGCTGTTTTTGATAACATCAGCCCCATAGTAACACCATATCAAAACTTTGATAGCTTGTTGTTTCCTCATGACCACCCTGGGCGCTTGGCCACAGACACTTATTACATCAATTCAAAGTGACATTTTATGTTTCTATTTTCACAGTTTACATTACAATGTTTCATGCTTTAGTCTTCCATTGTAGCTTTATAATTTATATATGTGCTAAATTCAGTGCCACCTGTTTTTGCATACGTTCATTTGCACACATTTAATCCAAAATAAAATGAAAGTTGAGTTAAAATTGCTCAAAATCAAATTATAAAAATATCTTTTCAAGTGTTATTAGGTATGGTTTCAGTATATAAATTGATTGAGAAAAGCCTGCAACAGATAGTCAGTGTAAAATACCACAAAATTAATATTTTATTGCGCTAATATATATATATATATATATATATATATATATATATATATATATATATATATAATTATATATATATATTTTTATAAACTTGTATTACGAGGTTATTAATTAGAATATCAAAAACCTAAGTATCAACATAAACTTGTAATGAATATATAAAAATTTGTTTATTTAAGTTAAAATGTGGTGAAAATTGACAGTTATATTAAAATGTGTGATTCAATAATTAGCACATATGTACTTTTTTCTGACAGGAAATGCTGTTATAAAACTTCAATTAATTAATTAATTTATTACTTAGTTAATTAACGAATTGGTTAATTAGCTGTTTTTATTTATCTATTTAATATAAAAACATTTCCATTCAAATGAGTAATTTTAAAGCGAGACATTTTTACAAATATTCAGACATTTACTGAGATCTCACATAACAGCACACGATGAGGAGCTGATAAAAATGGGTTTCAATGCATTCTTGAGCGTAGGTGATGTTTTCAGGAGAGATGAAATTGATTTCAGCCACTACCCAGCCTTCCACCAGCTTGATGGCTTACGACTGTTTTCAGAACAAGAAGTGATTTTTTCTTTATATTATAATTAATTTCAGCTACTTAAAATCTGCCTTAAAAAGACAAAGTTAGATAATGTTACTTATATAGAAGCAGACATTTATCTCTTTGGCTGATATTCATTTAGACTTTATTTTTTATTCGTTCATTAGTCAAATTTGTTTAAAGAAAAATAATTCCAAGTTAAAAATAAAATTCAGAAAATTTTTTAAATGAATAAATTTTTTGCACATTCACTGAAATACTGAATACTAACAATTATTTCAACTAGCAGTACTTAAAATATAATTCCTAATTAATGTTAACTGGATAACCTATTTCAACAAAAAATGTGGAATCTTTCTGTTTCAATATCAATACAGTGTTTCTCATTATTTAAACCCCTTATTAATGTTAACTGGACAAACTAGGATGAATAAAAGTTCATTTTTTTTACCTCTACAAACTGATCAACAGCTGTTCCATGGAATAAAAGATCCAACTGGATTAAAACTTTTTGAGAACGGCAATCGAACAAACGACAAACAAGACAAGCACACGGTCGATGCATCAAAACTTGTTGAGTTTGATTTGAAGCATGTGCTGGTCGGCATCACCCAGAAGTTGTTCGGCAAAGGTGTGTAGGCTTTTTTGTCACATTTTCAATGACATTCTGCACTTTATTTTTGAGATTCATCTTGTGACTTGTTGACCAGATATCAAATACAGATGGGTGGATTGTTACTTCCCATTCACGCATCCTTCATGGGAGTTAGAGATATTTTATGAAAATGAGTGGATGGAGGTGTTGGGATGTGGTGTTCTCGAACAAGCCATTGCCATCAACGGTTCGCCTAATACTTCATTCCAAATACTTATCATCATGGATTTGTTGAAAATTGTAAATAAATTTTATGAAAAACGAGAAATTATTTAGTTCTTGTTTTTTATCTAATTGAAATAAATATAGCTGGAGCTGGAAACAAAGTAGGATGGGCTTTTGGAATAGGATTGGATCGTTTGGCAATGATACAGTACCACATTCCCGACATCAGGCTGCTGTGGAGTGAAGACAGGAGGTTTCTTGATCAGTTCAATGTTGATAATCCCGAAACAAAAATTGTTTATAAGGTAAACTCGTCTTTAAGGTTTTCTTCATCATTAATTATTCAGTTTGTACTATTGATACATTGACTGCATTTATTACTTCTTGATTTTGGTGCTAATCATACATGTACTTTTAATGCACTATCTCTGTTCTAAATTATTGACTGCGACGGTGGCAGATTTAAACAACTGCAACGGGGGTGGGGCCAAAATTTAGAAAATGTTTAAATTTTGAAGAGGGGCCAAGATTTGTAGTAATGTGGCTGACGACCTTTCTTAGTCGATTTTAAACATGAAAAGGTATTTTTTCTGACTTCCATTAAAAAACTGCTCACACTGATCCGTCACTGAACTGCCATATTTATTTTTATTTTCAAAACTTTTTCATTAATCTGATGTTGATCTTCTATATATAAACCGTGAAAATTATTATATCTCATTGTTACACATCTGAACCACACTGAATTATAATTAAACATTACTTAACATGTAATCTATGAATTTTCGCAGCCTATAAGCAAATACATGTGCAGGCAAACTGATATTTCGTTTTGGATCACCGATTCGTTTGTCTCAAGTGATTTTTACGATCTTGTGCGTTCTGTGGGCGGTGACAACATCGAGAGAGTGGCACTTATTGATATCTATTCAGACGTCAAAACAGGTTAGATATTTGCATTTAGGTTAAAAAAATGTTTCTTAAGCTTGGACTAATTTATTTATCAGCTCGAACAAGCCACTGCTACACCATAACTTTCCAACACATGGAGCGTGTCATTAGTGTGGAGGAGGTCAAGGAAATACACAATCATATTGCCTTGCTGGCTGAACAACAGCTTGGCGTTCAAATCAGATGATTATTATAATTGTAACTTATGTATATGCTTATTTTTTAATTATATTGTTTTTTTTCTTATTTAATTACTATTTTTGATTTTCATATATTATTATTTCAGGATTATCTTTAATTTTAATTATTAAACATCAATTTCAAGTATTTTTTTATTTATCTTTCCTCCTCTCATACCTCAAATGAGAATGTTATAAAACGGTCCGGTTATGAAAAGAAGAAATTGCTATAAATAATTTAATGGGAGCAGTTAAAGTTTTTTGTCACATCATGAGAGAAGAGATCGCGGTCAACAACGAATAACATTTGTGAAGTCCTTGCATCACTTGTTGAATTACCAGCACATTTCAACTAATACAAAGTGTTAAAGATTGGGTTTTGTGGAGGTCGATGGTCGCCAATGTCATGAAAGGATTAGGCACGAGAAAGAAGACTTAAAAACTGTTTTCGAATCATGTATAATAACTAAAAGTCCAGTTATTACAATTTTGATGATAAATTTAAACAGTAGTGCGTCCTACAATAATTCTTAAATCATCATCATGTACATTTATAGGCGCCCAGTGTTGATTCCAGGGTTCGCTGAAGAAAACATCGGGTTTTCCTTGTCGCATGATCACGCATATTTAACCGTCATTTCCATTCTTCTCTATTCTGGGTCAGTTCTGATTTCAGGCCCAGTCCCTCATGTCCTTAGAACATAGCACTGAAGTATTTACGTAAAATTTTTTCATTCTACTTTTTTTCTATTCTCGACTGCTCTATTCGATTGATCCTTCTCAATTGGTATATCACTTAGATAACTCTTTCAAATCCCAAATTTTGTAGGTGCCCAGTATCACCCTTCCTTTTAGTGGTATCTTTCAACTTACATCGTTTAAAAACAAATTTCTTGTGTTAAGATCACCTTTCAAACCACTGCATCGTTTGTGCCTCCATTTATCATATTTTTCACATAGTGTGAAATTTTCTTCAACTCCTTTACCGCACGCCACACAGGGTTATTTACCATGTATAAGAGTATCTGAATCCTCTCCGCATAACTTTGGTCTTACCAGCATTTATCTTTAAACCCTTTCTTTCCATGGTTATTTTCCACACTGAGAACTTTTCTTTCAGTTCTTCCTCATTCTCCGCCTTGGCAACCATGGCATCTCCCCACTAATCATTTCCATTACTATAATAAGAATGTTTGTCGTTAATATGTTTGTAGTTTTTTGGTGAACGTTTAGTTTATTAAAATTCAAACGTTCACCAAAAAACTTTAGTGAGAAAAATCGAAAAAACGAACTACAAACATATTAACGCCAAACATTCGGTAGAATTTATAGAATATTGTAAAAATTATGGTCTATTACCAACACACACACACACACACACACACACACACACACACACACACACACATATATATATATATATATATATATATATATATATATACTCACTACATATATAAATATATAGTGAGTGTACTTGAATCCACAGGTACGTGAGTATATAAAAGGTGAGAATTTTTTGACCTGCTGCCGCAAGTACGGTTCGCCAGTACGAGTACATAAAGTACACCGTCTCTCACCACGACCAAGTGTGTATTACTGTGAACACCTACCTCGTTCTAGACTAGAGGCGTTTCGTCCCTTATGAAACTTATCAGAAGCCCGAGTTTAAACGCCAACTTAGTGCAATTACTATCTCATTAGCCTAGAACGAGTTAGATGTTCGCAGTAATGCATCTTTGGTCGTGGTAAGATATGATGTATTTTATGTACTCGTACTGGCTACCCGTACTTGCGGGAGTAGGCCGGAAAATCGTACCCTTTATATACTCACGTACTTGTGGATTTAAGTTGTCTCATTATTTCCTATATTCGGCAAAGTAACAGTACTCTATATCGACCAAAATGCGTTTCTGTGAATTACTAAAAACACCTTAGTTTGCAATATTGTCTACTGAGATGGTAATTGCACTAAGTTAGAGTTTAATCTCGGGCTACTGATGAGCTTAGCTTAGAACGAGTTAGATGTTCACAGTAATGCATCTCTGGTCGTGATGAGAGAGGGTGTACTTTATGTACTCGTTCTGGCCAACCGTACTTGCGGGAGCAGGCCAGAAGTTCTCATTCCATTCATATATATATTGTCATAACCGCGGGAATCATCGAATTGCGCTATATTATTTGTTATCTGAATTACTGTTATCTTTGTAAAGAAATATTGTATCTATGCTAAAAATCTAGGCTATATATATAGAACCTGCGCAGTCATGTTTGCAGTCTGGATTCCAGCAGAGAAAGCGTAGTCGTTAATGTAATTTATTTAATTACTTGGATTAGTTTATTGTTTCTATTACTGTTGACATTCAAATAAACATTCAACAAGGTTTGCGTTTGAAGCAGTTGTGCTCATCTATCGGAAATCTTAGACCTACGAAATAACGAACACTTGACGATCGTTGGAAGCTACAACACTGGTTTTGGAAATATAGGGATCATTGAAGTTATGACATTGGTGTTGGTAGTAACGAACGTCAAATAGTTACAACAATATATGTATATATATATATATATACATATATATATATATAAATTATATAGATATATAAATTATAGTAATATCAGAAACGTGGTTGAACAATGAAACAGTTGATTTAATTAAGTTAAATAATTACAATTTTGTATATAAAAATAGAAAAAGCAAACGAGGCGGAGGTGTTGGTGTGTTCATAAAGCATGACATCAAATATGTTGTAAGTGATAACAGTGCATTTGATGATGAAAATGTCGACGTTCTCTGTGTGGACATTGAATCGGAGCATGCTTCATCTAGGGGTGTGCTAAAAGTTATCGCGATATACCGCCCACCCAATTATAAATTTGAGCCTTTTTTAAATAAAATCAATTTGATTTTACACGCCATCAAACCCGCCGACAAAACTGTTATAGTGGGCGACTTTAATGTTAATTTATTGGACAATGATTCAAATAATTCTAAAGACTTCCAAAATTTACTATTTTCATTTTTTTCTTGCCTTTAATTTACCAACAAGAGTAACTTGTAACGCCAATTCATTAATCGACAACATATTTACGTGGAGTCATAGTCTCAGACTTTTCTGACCATTTTCCAGTTTATGCAATAGTAGAAAATTTTAAAACTGCTATCAATGATGACCAAATTTTATGTAGAAAAATTAATAAAACATCCATTTTCTTTATTAAAAAAAACCCTCTCACTTCAAAATTGGCATTCAGTTAAAAACGAGAATAATATAGATACAGCATGCCTGAATTTCTACAATATACTCAATAAAACTCTTCACACATACGCACCTCTGCAGTGGCAGAAACAAAAATATAAAAAAGCATGGGTATCTGATGAAATAATAATATAAAATAGCAATCGCTGCACCAAACTCAGCTAATGTTGAAAATTATAAAAAGTTTAGAAATTACTTTACATCAGTAAAGAGAAAGGCAGAAAAAAATTATTTTCAACAAAAATTTGAAGAGGCAAAGAGTTGCTCCAAACAAAAATGGGAAATAATAAACGGTATAATGAATAGAAAACAAAACATTCTTGAAATTAATAAGCTAAAAGTTGACGACAAAATCATCGAAGACCCAGAGGAAATAAGTATTCTTTTCAGTGAATACTTCATCAATGTCACAGAGAAGAGAAGTATTACGATTGTTTCGTTAGAGTGATTAGATAAATTTTACAACATTTTAGGATTTTATTATACGGGGTTCAAATCATGTTTAACAAGTGATTTTCAAAATACAGTTTGCCTGAATGATGTTGTTGTTACCTAGGATTCGGTTCTCGGAATGATCTTGCTGTTTCTATTTTCAGCTGATATTCTTAAATAATAAATTATTTTGAGTTAACCTTAATAAATCACAAACCACAGTATATGTTGAGGCCACCAACAACAACACGTGTCCAGAACGATACAAGTAAAGAGTTGTTGTATCGCACGCCAACTCATCGTTTTGGACAGGTTCACTACAGTAGAACTAAAAAATAGTTAAACAAAAATTTGTGGATATTGGCTACTGCTACAAGATAGTCGACGCATTCATCAAAGATACCAACAATACCGCCACAGCAACTACCAACAACAAGAATTCTGATCCGATAAAACTTATGAATGATTGACAATACAACAATGATACAAAAATAATGAACAATATCATCAAAAACAATATAAAATGCAGAAACCCAATTCAAAAAATAAAGATTTATTACAAAAATGCTAAAACATCACAATTATTGATAAAAATCAACAACAAAATAATCAGAAAAATAATCAACTGAGCAGATCACGGATAATTTACCAATACAAATTTAAGGATAAAGGTGTGAAAATCTCTCAATCAGATACTCCGGTGCCAGCCTGTTGACAGCCAATTTGTAAGTTAGGGTAAATGTGTATAAAGTGGGACACCGGGACGAAAAACTTTTACGCGTCCTATTTAACAATACTAAAAAAATAAAATGGTCCTACTGATTTTAGGATTATTGGTCTGCTATAAACAATTCTTCAATCTTCAATTTTTCTTAGTTAAGTACTGAACTGATAACTGACTTTTGTCAAAGGCCGTAAACAAAATTTGTGCTGTTTTGTAAAATTAGTAAATTATGAAACACCAATATATTGAAAATGATCTAAAAAAATTTCACTTTTACTTAGGGTATTTTACATTTTAAGTCATATTCACTCGTCCCATCTTACACACTATGCTATTTAATTTATGTACATTTGGACACCCAAATCTATGAGTATTTAAATTGGGACAATCTGCTGTGAAACATGAGACATGCATTTAGCATAAATAATACAATTGGCACAATGTATTTATCATTAAAAATAATTGAAACATTTTTTGTTCAAAATTTAACAGTTTGCATTATCAGTTTGTGAATTATTTACACAGCCATATATGGCCAGTGCAACAATAACAAATGCAATTAATGAATTTAAAACAACTGGCATCTGGTCTTTCTATCTTCGAACAGTGCTTGATGAAGCTTTTTATCCATCTATAACGTCAACATAATATTCCTGTCGTCAATGAAACTCACTAAGCACATCTGTTAAAAATCTTGTTACCACTTCAGCTGATTTGGCTAACTTTGAAGTCAACAATACATTTCAACCTAGTTTATCTGCCAACTATGTTAATATAAAACGTCATCTAGCATGGTTTGATAATGATACAAAATGTGGATGAATGGGATAATTTATTATCGGAAGTTTTGATCAACAATGAGAATCAATCAGGTATATCAACTGAGTGTGATAACCTCGACAAATCTTAGGACATTAAGACAAACAACGAAATCACTTTTGAAAACCTTCTAGTGCTACAAGTTCTAAAACCACAGACAAGAAAAAGAACTTCAATGGCTGAAATTGTTAATACATACACCGGAGATAATTGCTTTCGCAAAAAACATCAGCAGTTCCAAAGGGTTTCAGATCAAAAAGAAACAAGAAATGCGATCAAACAATCAAGCCTAACAGAGAAACTATAAAAAAGCGAAAAAGGGGAAGAATTATAAAAAAGTCTAGGAAATAATTTATCGTTGACAACGATGAACAGAAAAATAACAAATACTGCAGTCATTTTGAAGGATTCTACTTTGACGAAAACTCCAACGACGAGGATTGGATTTATTGCAATGTCTGCAAAAAGTGGGTTTCATGAGAGCTGTGCTGGAATCTATGTTTAAAGAGCGTCTGAATAAAATGCAGAAAATAATTGATAAAGTTTTTAAAACCATGAATTGTTGTTTTGAGCTTAAAAAAATATTGGTTAACAATTTTATTTTCTTTTTCATTTTTGTTAGAATAAACTGACTTGTAAAATGTAATAGTTGGAAGTTTTTAACCATTAGCGTCAATAGAAATTCAATTCCATGTAAATACTCGTATTTAAATTGTTCATATGTCACGTGAATCGTGTAGTCCCATTTTTTCCAAAACTAATATCCCATCTTATCTGAATTTTAAGCTAAGTCACAGGTCATTTCAATTTGTCCAATCTTATAACTATTGTTTTTTATAGAAAACAAATTAATTTCTAAGCCAAGATATATTCTAGTATTATTACTCTGGAATTTTGTTCATAACTAGTTTTCGAGTTGTTGAAGAATAGTTCATAAGCCAATGGATATCACGCAGTATTGGCGTTACATGTTCAAATTTTATATAACCAACAATAAGTTTAGCAGTTCAGTTTTGGATGAATGCATGAGCTAGCCTTTTTATAGTTGACTTATGCACGATACTTTGAATTTAATGGTTCTATCAAATTCAACACTTGTGAAATGTATAGTACCAGGTACAGCAGGAGAAGTCCCAAAGAAGAATATTTATACATATATATATATATATATATATATATATATATATATATATATATATATAGTGTATATATATATACACTATTACATTGACTTGCTTGTATATACATGAACAATAAATGCGATGTCGTGTTAATGTTTCAAATCTTCTGGTTCACTTCTCTTCAAGTTTAGAGGCCATAAATTTTTAGAACTCTCGCAATTCAAAATTGAATTGTTAATATTTCATTTATTTAGGAAACTCAGAGTCTAACAGAAAATTTCATACTCAGAGACAAACACACACATCACACACATATATTATACATGCACATGAAAGCTTATTAATGCGCTGCGTATATTGACTAACTACATATGTATATGTATACACATAGATGGGCAACCTCTATGTCTACATGCGATAGAAGCATTTAGAATGCTTGAGTTAAAATGACTGTTGCTGTTAAAATAGTTGAATGAAGAAATAATAATAATGTAAATAAAAACATTTATAAGAAATTGTTAATGATTTAGTCTTCGATGTATCAATAAATTTGTATTTTTTTGGATTTAATGTTTATAGACTATATATTTTTAATTGATAAGTTGTTTCAAAGTGTTTTTCACATTAGCTGTTTGTTATATTTCGTAGTGAATCTGCCTCACCAATTAAAATAAAACTAAAATTTTTTGTATTGACCCACCAATTTTTTAAAACTAATATCATGTGATGACAACCTGAGGTTTAAGAAGGCGGTCGGATTGTTTTTCGGACGAAGAAGTTTATTTGTTTTGATGAATTTACTATCAACACATTAACAAACGTCAAAATGTGGTTAAACATCAGCAATGCATCATCATTCTCAAACGAAAGTTGTTGTACGAACATAACCAACAACACTATTTTGAACAGCCCACAAAACTCAGAAAAACAACTTCTTATCATTGCTCTTCCAATTATCGTACTCGTTGGATTAATAGGCAACACGCTTTCCTTCATTATCCTTCTAAGCAAGCCAATGAGGAAAACATCAGTTTATTTTTTTCTTGCAGTACTCGCAGTATCTGATACCATGGTTTTACTCTTGAGTGCATTCAAAACTTGGATCGTCCTCATATCAGGAATTGAACTTCTTCGACTATCTAATGTATCTTGCAAAATAATTTTCTACTTGACAAACATATCATATCATACCTCAGCATGGATTATCGTTCTCGTCACATTTGATCGATTTGTGGCAGTCTGGTTGCCTCTCAAATCGGCCTCCATATGCACAGTCAGAAGAGCGAAAATTGCAACAGTGGTTCTCACTGTCGTCATGGCCGCTTATAATTCTTACATACCCATACTCTACAGTCTCCATCCGGTTGAGACTGAAGTCGGCACAACTGTCTACAGATGTCAGTCACCTAACTCCTATGTGACGTTGGCACTCAACCTCACCATCATTCGTTCCATCACTTATTGCTTCGTACCATTTATCGTCATTTTCATTTTCAACATTTGTATTGACTTCAAATTAAGAAAAATTCCCAAAATTACACTTCATCAAACGTTTTCAAGCGCTGCTTCCTCAAAAGACAACAAACCAACAAAAAATAGAAACAATTTAGCAGCTGCCACAGCTGAAACAGCGGACAAAACATCAATAACAACTTGCTTCGATGATGACACCAGTGAAAAAAATATGACGAATTTTATTAGCAGGAGTCCGGCTGTAGCAATAAAATATAAAAATAAGAAGAAAAAATCAAAAAATGATCAATCAAATAACTTGTCATCAAAAACGCAGAGAAGCCACCAGACTAAGTTGACTCGTATGTTGTTCGCAATCTCCATTTCGTGGCTGGTTCTCACTGCTCCATACTCCCTTCATTCACTTTTCACTTTGCTTTTTTCAAAGCAAGACGCAGTTGCCAAGTATGTTTTGTTAATTTATTTTTATCACATTACAAGCTTTTTATTGTAGCTAACGCTGGTGAGCCACGCTGATCAGTCCTCCGTTCTTCTTTTTGCAACTTATTTACGCATCTACAATTGACAAAATCGCCAAACGATGTTGCAAATTTTGCAATTAAAGGCTAATGACATATTTACTATAAAGTATTGTGTCATTTTGATGACAAAATTGTACACAGTCTTGAATAAAGAAGAGAATTTAATTTAAATTATTTTAAAAGTTTGTTTCATTTATCCCGAAACAATTTAAAAATGTATAATTAAAAAAGGTTGAAATACTAAAAATTTATATAGTTCACATATCAATTAGTTGCAGTAGTTTATCGGTAATATTAAAAAAATTACAAGCAACTATTAGAGACTGGACAGTAAAACACCACTTGAGACATTCACTATCGTTTATATGTTCGTATTTTCGTATCATCATCTTTCTATACTACGTACCATACAACCAACTATTCAAGAGATTCTTTCAACGAAGTTGGTGTATTTGTAACTCGATCCAATCTTTTTCTAATTCTTCTCATTGTTTTTATCGTCAAAAGTATTTTTAGATATATAATCGTTCTCATCATCATCATCATCGTCATCATCTCCATCGTTGTCATCATCATAACCACCGTCATCATCAAGCTTGTCATCATCGTCATTATCTTCATCCAGCCATCAAAAATTGTCAGCTTATTTATCACAACATGACCGATTTCTTCCCGCATGCTGTTTTTTTTTTTCATTTTCAGCATGTTGTTGCGTTTTTCCACGAAAAATTTTTCTGACGCTTCTTAGCTATGTTCGTACACTGCTCTGCAATATTTACGTGCAAATGTTGGACCAGCACAACATTTTTTAGACTGCGTTTGAACATAATTACAGTTTGATATTTAAATTAAACATTGAAAATGGTAATATTGAATTTTATTTTGAATTATATTGATTCATTTTAAATCATATCAGACCGAACGAGACGAAAATAAAACATTCAAACAAGCAATCAATGATCCTGATAAAGGCGGTATGCTTCATGCTGTACTACATCAACCACTCCATCAACTTCTTCCTCTATTGTTTGGTCGGCAAGAAGTTTCGGACCAGGATGAAATCGTTCTTTTACAAATGCTGCTCGAAGAGGTTGTCCCATTCAACTTCCGTTCGAACAATGAAAAGTCACTTCTTTGAAATGGATCAAATGCACCAGAACTCGAGCAAGTTCACTTCTAACAAAATCAACTTGGCAGCTAGATATCTCATCGACAACAATGACATCAACAATGGTGTCAACAACGACATCAACACCGAAAATAACAATGCCAATAACAATAATATTAACAACGACATCATAAAGGAAACGAGCAGCAATATTAACGATAATGACATCAGCAACCAGAGTAGGCAGCAGGCAAATGAAATGGATGACATCCTGTTAGAAATATGATTAATTCAGCCAAAACACTGAATAAAATTGAAATACTTAAACTATGAAAACATTTTTATTCGCAGGTCGGTTTTTGTTGTTATGTTTGTTGTTGTTTGGATATTGTTTTTATAAATGTTGAGACGTTTTACGCGATATTTGTTGTGACAACATGTGTTTTCAATATAACAAATTATAAAGTGCTTGGTTGGTCTCACTTTTTTTGCAGTAATTGCTGACTACTTCATTAACAAATTACGTTATCATCACTGCTGTCAACACTGCTAAAATTACAGTTATTTTTTTAGTTTAACTATTACTATTATCCCTTTTATTATTATTATTATTACAAGTATTATCAGTGTTGTATAGTAATCCAAGTAATCCGATTACGTAATCGATTACATTTTTTTGAATCTGTAATCTGTAATCGCATCATTTATAAAAGTAATCTGTAATCTGTAATCAAATTACATTTTTTGTGTAATCTGTAATCTAAACAGGTGTCACGATTACTTTATTTTAGATTACTGTAACGACAACAATACCTAAGATTTTTAAAATTTAAAGTTAAAAAACTAAAAAAAAGACTTATTCAAAAGAAATAGTTTATCCATTGACGTCGTATGCTTTTTAATTAGACCGCCCACGTAATGTTAAAAAGTTGGTCTGCTCAAGAACGTTATGAAGATTAGCAAAGTCGCTTCCGGTTCAAACTTGTTTGAAATTTCATGAAATTTAAAAAAAATGCAATTTTTTAAATTATTTTATGAATAATTACAATTTAATAATTCAATAACTCATAAAACTATGTGACATTCATTAAATAAAATTCTTATGATGTAATCTGTAATTTCAAAAAGTTTGATGATGTAATTTGTAATCTGTAATCGGACACATCATTGCAAAGTAATTTGTAATCAGATTACTTTCCAAAACTAATCTATACAACACTGACTATTATTACTACTATTGCAAGCACCAACAAAATCAACAACTAAAACAACAGTTACTTCTCCCACCACCATTACCACTACCACCCCACCACAACCGACACCACTACTAAAACTACTATTATTACTACTACTAATACTACTACTACTACTACTGCTATTACTACTATTACTACTACTAATTCTATTTCTATTACAAGAAAGAGCAATTATGACCATAACAACCAGTTCTGCTAATTCCTCACAAACACTACCATCATTATTACTGTTATGAACACTGCAGCTGTTACCTCACTTACCAACACTGCTCTACATTTACAATTTTATTGTAAAAAGCCGAAAGAGTTTTTCATCGACCAGCGATCACCTCTTCAATGATGACCGCAGCCTTCATGTGACGGTCTTTGTTATTTCTCTTTCTGAACAAACCTCTTCAGAAGCCAGAAAAACCAACATTGGCAATTAAGAATTCAAAATAACTAAGAAACTCAGCAAAAGTATTCACTTGCTCATGATATCTTACATTGCTTGGATGGATCATACAACTTTTGTTAATTAATTGTTTGTTAACATTTTCATTAGGAAGAGTTTCTTGATATCAAATCAAAATTTTTCTCATCAGATTTATGATGTAATTTTTAAATAATTATTTTAATGTTTTTATGTTTCAATAATAAATTCTGTTAAAATCTGTTGTATTAGCGAAGTCTCATTTTTGAGTAATTTTGAAATTAAAAATCAAAAATTTTCGTGATTGTGTTGAACGTTGATTTTTATGAAACTCAAATTTTGACGCAATTTGAACACGTGGACAAAAAAAATTTTCAAGTCATTAAATCAAAAGAATAAGGTTTAAAAAAATAATCTTGCGAATGTTGAAGAAGAAGAGGAGGAAAAGTTGCAAGCTGATGTTTATATATTCCGTTCCTCCCAACCTCTGAACTGCATGCAGATCGAACGAAGATGGTTTTAAGTTTCCGTTCTTATCTTGATTCACATTTCATTTTTTCCATTTTTACATTAAGTTTTGACTCAGTATTAAACAGAAGAATAATATACAACAAATAACAGTAAAATCAGCAGCACTTTTTACAGTTTTTCCACATTCTTATTCATTGTGCAGTATGCATTACAAGTTTTAGTTTTTAAACCATGAAATAATTTTAACACATTAAAACAAAACAAAAAAAAAACACAAGTTTGAGGTAGAATACTTTAACCGATATATTTCATCGTAATGATCGCGGGACAGACATTATTATAAAGTGAAACGACACGATGTGGGCACTGATGTGTGTGAGTGTCATACATGGCGACTCAACCATCCATATCATGCTTATTAATCAGATCTAATGTAGCGAAGAATTACATGTCGGCGCATTAAACTCAACGTGTCATATAAAAAATCCATCAAGTCATTATCAAGTGAAGATGTGCTAATTAGTGCAACTTCTACGTGTGCTTCTAATTTCAAGATTACGGTTTCATTGATGTACTATTATTTCACTTGTGTAAAAAATGCATACTCATGTAAGGAATAGGATGGGCTGCACTGAATTTGAATTATTCAAATTTGGCCGGAGCAGAATTTGCGTATCATACATAATGCTATAACTTGTGACTTTTTGACTATGATTTTTTAAACTCACCATAAAACCTTGCTTCACTGAATTCCTATAAATATTCTAAAAAATTGTATTAAATTCAAAGCAATGCAATAAACTATTACATAAAAACAAATACAATTATGCTATTTTTAAAATTAAAACCAGCAATTTAAAAAATTAAAACCAGCATCGGCATTTTATCTCGCTCTCTTTCTCCAACCTGTTAAAGAAGAAATACTGGCAAATATTTTGACCAAATTTTTGCAATGAGGGCCGGTGTTAACTTTTGGTCACCCTCATCTTCAACTGAAGCAAAATGATTCAGTGACCTCTTTCGATTCCCAATCGACTTTTGGATCATGATCAAATCTTTTCTCATTCCTCCGTACTCGCGTGCTGGTAGTTCAAGGTATCTTATGCGTTCATCGTTGTTCAAAGAATAACCAAATATAGAGGCCACAATAAATTTATTCAATTATAAAATAAATGGTTTAAATTAAAACCATAAACAGAACTTATTTATAAGTAGCTACTGCATTTATTTATTTCGTTATAAAGATGTTTATGGAGTGTATGCTCGTAATAAAAAATAATTATACTCGAATCATATCCCAGTAAAATGAGGCAGTAAAATAGAGTTATTATTAGTTTTTAAATTCAAGAAATTAATTAAATTATTAAATTTAATTTATTAAATTAATTTTCAATTTCATTAAATTTATTTTCAAAAATCTTTTAAAAAATCAAATTAGTTTACGTCATGGAAAGATAGATGGCGTTAGATAGTTAGTATATCAAGAAAAATAATAAATTAGAAACACAACGGGCATTTTTATCTGTTTCGAAACAGGGGCACGAAGGAAGCATTTAAAATCTCTACATACTGTAGAACGAACCTTCTAGAGAGCACACAACCTTCTTCATTGTATGAAGAACCACAAATTGTAAGATGTATTCAAAAGTCTGATATTTGGATCCATTTAATTTTATAAGCAATTTATACAATTTCTTTTCATTTTTATTTTCGTTTTATTTTTTCCGCAGTATGCTTAATTTATGGCGACAAATATTTATTAACCGTTTCAAATGTTTTTTAAAAGAAAAAATGTCAATACGAAAAATAGTCAAGAAAAACAATTTGAAAAGCGAGTGGTTCAAAGCCTGTGGTGGAAAATAGAAAATAAAATATATATGGCGCTGCAGTGACTTGATTGTTTTCAGTTCGTTTAAGAGGCAAGGCTTCTTTCAAATGAGTCAATTCTGGATGTCCGTTAGCATGATTTATTGTCAGGGACTCAATTTAATTGTTTATTTTTTAGTTTTTTGCTGTTTATTTACTTGTGGTTGTGCGTTTGTACTTACATATTTGTGTGTTGGCAGTTTCGAAATTGTCTACTTGTGAACGAGGTTGCGCTATTTTGTATCGCACGTACGAACGCATGCCTCTCGTAATAATTTCTTATCTGTTCAAAGTTGATGGATCCACTTAATGCGGTACGCCGGGAAATAAAATAAATGTTCTAAAAAATTTATAATTAAGTAATAATGACAATGTGGTTATCGTAGAAAGAAAAATTGAAAGAAGATGAGATGGTCTGTGCAAAGAAGCAATTATTCAACAAAATGTTTGTCTTCATTTATAAATATTCTCCTTTCTCCTCATTTCTTCATTCAACATCGCACGAGAACATTATTTGCTGATTGAAAACATGTGTGTGTGCGTGCGTGTGTGTGTGAGTTTGTGTGAGTTTGTGTGTGTGTGTGTGTGTGTGTGTGTGTGTGTGGTTTCACGCAAAGCACTGTACGTGTACCTAAATACAAGCACCATGTACACACAAACTGATGATGTACACGCAGCTGTACTTGTGAAGCAAAACGTACATGGTTGACAATCTCGTGGACGGATATTGTACGTGCGTGCGTTGTGACGCAGTGGAAGAGGATTGTGTGTTGGCGGGCGGATGTGGCGCTGATGAACATCCATTCAAACATTTGCACATTTTTCCAGCTGCAATCCGGTGCAGACCAACCAACAAATTCTCACAGACAAACACGCAAATTTAGCCACGTTAATATTTCTATGATTCTTACAAGCGTTAATTATTAATTATAATTTATTAAATTATTATCCTAAAAAAATGAGAAAATTATAAACTGGGTAGAATAAAAATGTTAATATTTTTGTAGAGTAGACCGAAATACAAATACATTGCATTTGTCGAGAGGAATAACATTTCAATACTCAGCAGCAACCAAACATCCATCATGTTAGGTACCACAAAGACAACATATATCTGCTTATAGGAAAATATTTATTCGTGAACAACATATATTTGTTGATAGGAAGATATTTATCCGTTTCTACAATAATTGGAGACCAATAAAAGCACCAATGACAACAAACTGCATGAATAAAAGAACAAAACAAAAAAGCAACAAAGTAAAACATATGTTGATGTAA